CTTGGTCTTTCAGAGAAAACCTTCAGAAGAATTGATTTGCAAGGTAAATTATAAGGATTTAGGGTTTGCCCTCAAATTTCTCTTTCAGGCTGCTCTTCAAATAAATACTTCCCAATCCAAAAGAGACCACAGTTATTTTAGATGTTTGTCTTTTAACATCTGAATGCACTGCTTTTTCTTAGTTTTACAAGAACCTGTCCTCACAATAATCCATCTGCGGCTGAAAAGTCTTGTCACTCCTGCAAATCTGAATGCAGTCATGACTAACATTGCATTAAATAATAAGTGAGGATAATTTCAGAACACTTGGCTTTGCTTTAAAGGGCAAGATTTTGGAAGCAGGTTCACAGGACTCCATCCAGATCTGTCTTCCTGGCACATAACTCGGGGGACCATGCCCAAGCTCCAGGTGAGAGCAGAGGGCAGGAGAGGGGACGCTCACTTCCCACACGTCTGGCCCCAGGGTAGAGAGCTCGTTAGGATTCCAGGGGCCAGAACCCCACAGCACAGTGGCCTTTGGATGCCCCTCCGTGTCCTGGAAAGGACAGGCGGCTCCTCTCCAACTCTGGGTGGGGCTGGGAGAGGTCTTGAGAGCATGCAGGCCTTGGAGACCAACACAACTCCCCAAATGTCCCTGTGTCCCTGCACTCGCTGGGCCTGCTAGCTGTTCTGGGTCTCAAGGATATATATACAATTCTGAACATGTAACTAAGAACGTGTAACTCCGCTAGGCTCATACCTTACCCTACACCAGTGTTCAGGATGTGGGATTTCTGAGCTGATTGCACGTGAGACCCAGCCAGGTCCTGACTCACTGCCTGAATTTTCCATGTCTTTCTGGAGATAAAGCCTATCTCTGGCTTGGTGAATGCTGTCTGATTCTTCATCTTTTTCCATTTGGCATTTTGCTTTGAAACTCAGAGTGTTTTTGAAACTCAGAGTGTTGTAAAAGTATTTGTACCTGCATTTACGTTAAAGATTCTAGAAAATACAACTCTGGGCTGGGTGCTGTGGCTCATGTCTGTAAACCTAGCACTTTGGGAGGCCAAGATGGGAGGATCACTTGAGCCCAGGAGTTCAAGACCAGCCTGGGCAACAAAGCAAGACCTCGTCTCCATAAAAAGTAAAAAAATGGCCAGGCGCGGTGGCTCACGCCTGTAATCCCAGTACTTTGGTAGGCCAAGGCAGATGGATCACCTGAGGTTGGGAGTTCAAGATCAGCCTGACTAACATGGAGAAACCCCGTCTCTACTAAAAATACAAAATTAGCCGGGCATGGTGGTACATGTCTGTAGTCCCAGCTACTTGGGAGGCTGAGACAGGAGAATCACTTGAACCCGGGAGGGGGAGGTTGCCAGGAGCCGAGATCGTGACACTGCACTCCAGCCTGGGCAAGAAGAGCGAAACTCTGTCTCAAAACAACAACAACGATGACAAAACAAAACAAAAACAAAAAGAGTAAAAAATTCGCCAGGCATAGTGGCGTGTGCCTGTAGTGACAGCTACTTGGAAGGCTGGGGTCAGATGATCACTTGAGCCCAGGAGTTTGAGGTTGCAGTGACCTATGATTGCACCAGTACACTTCGGCCTGGGCAACACAGTGAGACCCCACCTCAATAATCAATCAATCAGTCAATCAATAAAATACAACTCTGATTTTTGTAAAGAAAAAAAGATGTTTTAGGAGGACAACCTTAAGACAAAGAAAACAAAGTTTTCTAGTCCGTTCTCCTCATTACCTGCTGCTCTCATGTACTAGGAATAATAATGTGATCATTAATTGGCTGCAGCAGCAGGGACTGTGTTAAAGGCTGGACGTATGTTTTATCACTGAGTTCTCACAGCAATCTCAGCAGGTAGGATCTGTTTCTCCCCATTGTACAGATGAGGAAACTGAGGCACAGACATACTTTATTTGGCCAAAGATAGACAGCAAATAAATGGGGCCCAGATGCAAATGCAAACATTTTGACTCCAAAACACTTGCCCATAAACTGCATGTGCCACTGCATGGAGAGAGATAACAAGGAACACCGCAAGTCACTTGTCCAGAAGCAGTTTCATGGACGATACAAACTTAATTTAAATGCGTGAATTCCTTTTAACAGGATGAAGAGCAATCTGATGGCTTCTCGGTTACAAATCTATTTGTAGAGGGCATTGATAGTGCCTATATTTTACATAGTCGTTTTGGAAGTTCTAGATGGCAGATTACACACAAAGAAAAACCCCTTTTTGATCACATGGATTATCATTACATAGATTTGCAGTCAAGCCATGTTCCCCAGCTATACTCTTTTATTCAGTAAAAGTCTGGCATAACACAGGAAGTTATACCAGATTCCACTTCTGTAGCCTATGAGGCAGATGTTGCAAAGGAATTTCACTGTGTTTGATGCCTCAGTTTCATACAGAATCTCAGGTCTGACATGGGAGAAGTTTTGATGACTTACTGCCAACTTTGTATCACCCCCAAAATGCTTTAGAGAAATATCTCTCTACAGAGAAAAGCAAGGAACTGTGAATTTCACTAGTGAATTGGATCAATGCGTCCAGCTAATTCAGGTACCAAATCCTATTTTTCTGTTAACAGCAGAAAACTGTCTACATCACGGCTGCTACCGAGCTCAACTTTTCCTGAACGGACTCAGCTGAAATTCTTGCCGTGTCTCGGTTCTCATTTCGCTATGCTAATTAGGGAGCCCAGAGGGTGAGTCTACACATGTTAAATGGATGGATCTTAACACATCGATGCTTTGTTTTTAGCCAGATTGCTGCACAACTTATTCCACTTCGGCAGCACCTGCCATCCATCACCAGGACGGCTCTGCTTGGGGACGGCCAGGCCACGGCCCTCCTCACGGCTGCATGGGTCTTGGACGTGGTCTAGGGCCACAACGCAGTGATGAAGCTGGCGGTTTGTAGAGGCTTTTACTACAAGTAACATCCCTCATTTGATGAAATAGATATCTTTCTGCCAACCTGGCTCTGTCACTGAAACCTGGTGTTTTTCAGTCTGGTAATTCTTCAAATGTGATGTTTTAAAGAATGTTAAGTGAATTAATTCTCCCTTTTTGTCAGTGCTGTAAGTTCCATACAGGGTTTGCTCAGTCTGAAGAACATCTGTGTTAATCAGACAAACTAAAGCATTGGGTGGATCTAAACGGTTCCTTTTAATGATTTTTCTCCACGATGACAAAGCACACTATGCAAACAACCACCTGACTTTAGCAAGAGGGCTAAAAATTATATTGCATAAATGGAGTTGCATTATTTAAACTTAAATTCAGGCCAGGCGTGGTGGCTCACGCTTGTAATCCTAGCACTTTGGGAGGCAGCGGTGGGCGGATCCTTGAGATCAGGAGTTTGAGACCAGCCTGGTCAACATGGTGAAACCCTGTCTCTACTAAAAATACAAAAATTACCCAGAAATCGCTTGAACTCGGGAGGCGGAGGTTGCAGTGAGCCGAGATCATGCCACTGCACTCCAGCCTGGGCAAGAGAGCAAGACTCCATCTCAACAAAAACAAACAAACAAAAAACCCTGAAATTCAAACTTTTGCCATTAAAAACATCCTCAATTCGATAAATTACAACTTGTATTTTGAAATATTGGTGGAATGACCTTACCTGCTCTGTATCAACCTTAGACAGCTGAATTAAAGCCTAATTCCTACCAAAAGTCTTTAAAATGAGAAATTAACCATGATGATACTTTCCCCTGATTAAATAAGAAGCAAGAGTTGGGGCTTTGCCTGAGAGAACATCATTTCAGAAGTCAATTTGGTTTTGACTTCGTTAAAGCAATAAAATGTGGGCGGTTAATCTGAGTGAAAGCTGCCGTGTTCTAAAAATGCATGAAGACTTCACTGGACGGGTGGTTGCACGGCAGAAGCTATTTAGGATTGGAAAGTAGCTGTGATTCGGATTTTAATGAATTACACGCTATTGACGAATTCTTCAGCAGTTAGCCTGAATCCTTTCCACTCAACTTAGACCCTTCTGCCTAGTTACTCCAACTTAAACCTCAGTTCTTGGAGGAATCAAGTTTGTCTTATAGTGGTTGTCTTTGATGGAGATGAGCCCGAGAGACATCAAATTTTCAGTGAATTTTAGCCGCTTTCTGGAAACTATTAAATCACTCCCGCCCCAAGCAGAAGATTGATCTTTGCTCTAAGGCACCTAAAGAGTGACTATTTTTCCAAGTTGCACAAAAAGGAGGATTTATCAAGCACCTTTTCTCTCAGAGAGGACAAACCCAGAACACGAAAACTTTATTTCTTTCTCTCTTGGCTATAAATTGTGCTATTCAGATGTATTTGAAAGCTTCTCTTTATGCTCTTGCTTGAGCCATAAAACTTGATACCTGGGGCCAAATGCCTTTATCCCCAAGAAGGGCGAAGAAGATGAAAAGGCAGCAGCTGTAGGCGGAAGCCACACAAATGACTGGGCAGAAAATGCGGGCAGTGGAGAAAGTTACATTGCATGATTCACGCCTCCTTGACTTTATATTCTACTCTGAAATTAATGTTACCGTTTGCATAGGATCACTGGCCTTTCACAACCTGAATTAGCCATTCAGAACACACTAGGTTTAACCAATACCACCTATTTGATTGTTGTTGTTATATTTATTTATTTAATGTATTTATTTTTGAGGTGGAGTCTTGCTCTGTTGCCCAGGCTGGAGTGCAGTGGTGCCATCTTGGCTCACTGCAACCTCCGCCTCCCAGGTTCAAGTGATTCTCCTGCCTCAGCCTCCCGAGGAGCTGGGATTACAGGCGTGCATCACCACAGCTGGTTAATTTTTGTATTTTTAGTAGAGACAGAGTTTCGCCATGTAGGCCAGGCTGGTCTCAAATTCCTGACCTCAAGTGATCTGCTGGCCTCAGCCTCTCACAAGTGCTGGGATTTCAGGTGTGAGCCACCACACCCGGCCTGTTGTTATTTTTAATACCGGGATTTTAGATCTGATGAATTTCAATAAGCCGGCCACTCACCTGGAGAGGGTTCGCTGGGGTCCGCTTTGTCTGCTTTCCTTGCAGTCATGGTACTTTTATGTTTCTGCTTGACTGATGTTTGGTCAATTGCTGGAAGTTTGGAGTCACACTTAAACGCAGATATCTTGGTAGACGACCTTGGTTCAGTTAGAGGATCCTCTTCACTAGAACTCTACCAAAAATGAAATACGTCTGAGTATCAGTGGCCAAGTAGGTCACCTTTGTTAGGCAGAGAAAACAGAAATGAGGCAAACGCAGTGACCCTCTCCAGCAATATCCTAGAGTCGTCTGCCAGGGTCAACACGCCCGTTCACCAGAGAGATTCAGACGGACTGGGCGGAGCAACTTAGAAATAACGGCAGAATTAATGAGTCTGTTTTGCAGAACATTAAGAAAGAACGCATTTTTCTATGAGTGTGTTTTGTAGAACATTATGAAAAGAATGCATTTCTGACCCTTAAGTAATCTGATGACCGATAAATAGCGCATGTTAAAAGCTACATATGAAAGCAGGAGAAAAAAATCAGTGCTTTTAAACTTCGCATTGTTATTTGAACTACTTTGGAGATAGGCTAGAAAAAAAAAAGTTCCTTATGTTAATCATATACTTGACAATGAAAAGGAAATGTAGAGTGTGTGGCGAGGCCGATTAAATCAGACTTCAGTTTCAATACTCTGCGTTATTGGGTGCAACATGACACAGACTAATCTTTAAAAAGTCCCCTCCTTGTCACTCTTCTATAAAGAAGTCAGTATAAATCTATGCGTGGACAAATCATGATTCCTGTTGTGTCAGAATATCTCAACACATCCATGCCGACGCAATAAAAATTATCCAGGCATGGAACAGCTTTATACTTGGCTGTTACACAAAGAAAGGATGAAAACAATATAAATATCAGAAACCTGGTCTTAAAGGTGATTTAAGTACAGCCTGATGGCTTTAGGTCCTGGTGTTGGTATGACTTCCTAGGCTATCCATTCCGCAAGAAACAAATCACTAGGTTCCCCCTTCTCCGACCCTGGGGGGTCACCAGGGGTGGGGTCACTAAGCTCTCTCCTACATTGCACATTAGTCCAGTGTCGGAAAGTCCTCTGAAAAATGTGGTCTTTTGCAGACATGGAATGCTAAATTAACGTCCCTGGTACCTCCCCAACTCTTGCAATTTGTATGGATCTTGCTCACCGTTCTCCCTGTCAGTTGTGGCACTGTCATTTCACAGGCTCCTGACTCAGGAAAATACTCTGAGTGGCTTTGAATTATTGGATGTGATGTAAGACAAACTAAATTCTAAAACAGTCCTCTACCTGTCAGTCTTCTGTAAATAAGTCTACATAAATCTACAGGTGGACAGATCACGATCCTCCAAGATGATGAATCATGCTTTTAAATTGAGAGTTTGGATACAGCCTTTGAACAAATAATTCTTGTTTCTCCCCATAATTTCAGAAAATAGACCACCCTCAGATAAAGTGAGCAGAGAAGCACAAGACACAACATACTGATTGTTCTCCCCTTTCCTTTTCGATTTTGCTATTTAATCGAAATCCTTGCAAATTATTCTGAAATGTCAAAGATGAAACATTAGGTCATTTCTTTTTTCTTTTCTTTTCTTTCTTTTTTTTTTGGAGACAAAGTTTCACTCTTATTGCCCAGGCTGAAGTGCAGTGGTACCATCTTGGCTCACTGCAATCTCCACCTTCCAGGTTCAAGCAATTCTCCTGCCTCAGTCTCCCGAGTAGCTGGGATTACAGGCACCCACCATCATGCCCGGCTAATTTTTGTATTTTTAGTAGGGATGGGGTTTTGTCATGTTCGCCAGGCTGGTCTCAAACTCCTGACCTTAGGTGATCACCCTGTCTCAGTCTCCCAAAGTTCTGGGATTACAGGCGTGAGCCACCATGCCTGGCCAAAACATTAGCTCATTTCTGAACATGAGATAGGTTCTCTATTCTCAGAAAAGAAAATGTGGGCACATTTTAAGTATGACACCTAAGACTGTCATTGTAATTGGGTCCTGGAAGTCACAGTCCTGGAATTGTGTCCCAAGAAGAGCATCAATGAATAGGGGACAGAATTTCCTCCACAAACTGCCCAACACAATCAGCTCGCCGTAGTGGCTTAAGTCAACTCGCACAGGGCCCTGCAAGTCAGCCCTTTCTTTCCAGCCAGCAGAAAGGCAGGAAAAATGCCCCAGGCGAGGATGACCAACACCTGTGTCAGCAGCATCAGCTGCAGGTGTCCGCTCAGCTCCTCTTAGGGGATCCATCTCCATTACCCCCAGCCAGGGCCGGAATTCTTGGCTTGCCCCAGGCTGTGGTGATTAGGGAGGAGACCTTTATTGGTTGGGCTATTAAGCCATGTTTATCCTCCTCCACCCATTCATTAAACCTCAAGCCTTTAGTGCACTGAAGAGGTGAAAGCTTGGCCAATTAAACCATCCTGTTACCTGTGGGATTGTAAGCATATATTGTGAGTACAACCTTCTCTGGTTCAATCAACCTTATTTCTAGATGGTAACCATTAAGAGTCTAGAAATTGCAGCTAGAAGTCGGTGTTTTATCGGTTGTAAACTGAAGGCACAATGGCAAGAAGTGTACTACTTACGAATGTGTTAAAGGACTTTTTTCCTGCTTGCTTCATTGAGAAATCTTAAATAAATCACGTCCACCTTGTGGAGACAGAGTCTTGCTCTGTCGCCCAGGCTGGAGTGCAGTAGCGTGATCTCGGCTCACTGCAACCTCTGCCTCCCCGGTTCAAGCAATTCTCCAGCCTCAGCCTCCTGAGTAGCTGGGACTACAGGCACACACCGCCATGCCTGGCTAATTTTTTGTATTTTAGTAGAGACAGGGTTTCACCATGTTGCCCAGGCTGGTCTCGAACTCCTGAGCTCAGGGAAGCCACCCGTCTTGGCCTCCTAAAGTGCTGGGATTACAGGTGTGAGCCACCACGCCCGGCCTATCCTCTTTGATGAAAACCCAAGGATCATCCTTGAGTGGAAGAAGTTGTAGTAAATCATTCTGGCACTAAAGCGTGGTATTTAAGGCCCTGGAGCCCGGCTCCACGGGAGTGAATCCCAGCTCTTGCACATAGTAATTGTGTGATATTGGGTTAGTTCATTTCTCTGGATCTCAGATTTCATTGGTGAACAGTAGTGTCTACCTTTTGGTGGTTTTGTGAGGATTACATAATATATATATGTACACATAGCACTTAGAACAGTACCATATACATGTAACCCAGTAAGCGCCATGTAAGTATTGGCTTTTATGATTAGCCATTAATTCATGTTCAGCCATTTAAAAAATTAACTAGCTAACTACTAAACATTTACTACCTATGGTTGAAACCAAAGCTAAAGTCCCCAATGAAAAATCCTATTGGATTTCACCTATTCCAGAAGGGTATGAATGGAGACGTGGGTCAGTTCCACACCGGACTCTTGGTTTCTTTTCCAGGGAATATAATCTATGAGAGTATGACAATCTTACAAATGGCCAGTTGAAATTTATCTAGTTTTAAGAAAATATGGTGCAATGGTTTTTCAGACCGTAAAACTCTAATGGCAAATATTTGACAACATTAGAGATAATCAAACAATAATAATTAAAATTTTAATTTTAAAGTTGATTTTTTAATTGCATCTTTTCCTCTTGTAATTTTGAAAAATAATTACAATTTTCATTGCTTCCTTATGTGTCCCCCAGTTGAAATGTCACTTGGAGGTGGAGACAATAGCACACTGCTATTCCTCTGGGGGATAAAAACCAGCTCTATCTTTAAAAATCAAAGCCCATGACATTAAAAACAAAAAGCCAAAATAAAACAAAACCCAACCTACGTGATACTTGAGTATACTTTACATTCTCTACTGAGAATTTGATGAAAGTTCTAACAAAGCCATGTTAACGAAAATAAGTTGACAAAATTAATCAGTATTTTTTTGAGAATCGTCATTTTTGTACTTAAGGTTTTCCGAAGATCCTGGACTTGCTCTACTGGCCTCATGCCTAATAAAGTAGAGCTATCACTTTGCCCAGTGCTACGCTCTTTCAAAAGTTCACAGAAAGGCCCACACCGAGAAGAGAAGGAACTTAACTGGGTAAGTAGCATTGGGCAGTGAGGTAATAACATCATGGTTCAAGTTAGACGTCCTGGAAGGTGAAGACGCATGGGTTGGGAAGGGGGATGTATCTCCTCGGGAATGTGAGAATGATTCGATTCTTAACAACTAGGACCTAACAATATGGTGTCTGAAATGATAAGGCGACCATGAACAGAGATGACCCGAAGAGCAAGTAGACTAAGGCAGTCAGGCACAGAAAAGACTTCAAGTTATTTTCCAACTGTTGCCTGATGGCTCCTTTCCAAGAACCGGGAAACCGGTTCTTAACTGATATGCCATTTCTGTCCCTCCCTGAGAAGTGCTACTGAATTCTGATTGATGTGTACCAAACCCATCTTGGCCGTTGAGTCGTGTGATGGAGGCTGAGCTGAGTGGATCTACGATATGGTGCAGGGCACAGCTTACTGTGGATGGGAGGGAAAAGGCAGAGTAGTGTCAAGCTGGCGCCAGACTGTGTTGAGTACATTTTAAATGAACTTGGTCTCGTGAGATTATAAAAGAGTGTGGTCAAGGCAGTGAACCTCAACCTTTAAACAGTGACAACATGGGAAGGTCGATCAAGGGACTGTGTGGGCCAGCGAGAACCTTCAGAGCACTGTCCCCAAAGCCCACACTCAAATTGTGCCTCAAACACAAAAACCGCCTTAGGGAATTGAGGGCAGCTTGTATAAATAGCATTCTGGATAGGACGGTTACCTTTACATAGTCATGAAATATAAAATATGTTCTGCACAAAGTGCTGTTGTAGCACAAAGCAGGCAAAACTTTCTCTTGTCCAGAAAAAAACTCTTACAGCAGCAAAATCCCTCCTGCGGGTTCAGGACAATTTTGAGTGTGCCAGAATTGTAAGCTTGGACAATAAAGAACGAGGATCAGTAGGCTTTTTGGTCTTTCTGGACTCAGGTACCACCCACCTGAATCAAACTGCTGCTGACTCTCGTCTGTCTGCCCCATCTGAAGATGTGGCTGCCAGGTGCAGCTGGGTAAGACTAAGCACTACATGCCCTTGGTCTCCGTTTTGCCTGAAGATGCTTTTTGGAGGCCG